TTCCAAAACTGCACGAACATTAATTCATAAACTCGTTTAATAACTTCTATTGCGCGTATGCGTTGAGGTGATGTCTTTTCGTAACGATTGACGTCATACCTTGTGCTTGCTTGTTCCTCCTTCAACGGCAACTCAGATGAAACTTTAAAAGCGCCCTTTTGAGAATTACAAGAAAAACGAAAAGGCGTCAAACTTACTCTTTCAATCTGTTTTGGTTCTGCTGCACTGTCCTTCTTATTCGCTTATCCTACTTCGTTTACGGGTTTTTTTAGATACTACTGGGATACATGTGGTTATTCTATGAATGATAACTTACTGAGAAAGAATAACCTCTCAAATTTTTTCCCAACTAACAGAAAACTAAAAACATAAACGGTCCTGGAAAATCAAAAGGAAGGGTTATGAAATCAAAAACCTGAAAACTCGAAACATATTCAAGTGATGAAAAAACAACATACGCAACGTTATTTCAAACCTGTTTCCCAAGGACTTGCAGTGCTTCGAGGACGTATATGAACTTAATGCTGAAGCTTACCAAAAACTGGAGTTACGTGATTATAGGGCGTACCACTGAGCAACTATGCCGAAAAAAATAGTAAAGGGAAAAACGAGCACTACAGTATATTTTAAAAGAAAAGAATGTGAATGCTAGGGAAACGAGGAGGGAGAAAACTAAAGAACCCGTAGAATGTGATTCCCGTTACAATTTGAAAATGTTTGGGTCAGTTAATGAGTCAAAACAGTAAAAGTTAGTAGGCAAAACACAAGGTATTGTACCGCATCATCGTTTGTGTAGGTTGACAACTGAAGCGTTGAAACCTCAGGCAGAAGATATCATTAGATATTATCATTAGATTATAATTTCTCACCCTGCGCGTACACGTCAGCCAACCAGGCCATGCAACTACGTGAACAGATCTGTATCCCAACAAATGGAGACAGTGCAAAGCGTGAATAGCACTTACGTTGTGGTAGGTGAAACAGACATAGCAAATCGAGCGCCATCGTTGAAAATGGGAAATCGTCTCAACGCAAAGCACCATCAACCGAATGGAGTTAGACTCTGTTCTACGAAACATTACAGTCTTAAGGCACGCTCTACAGATGATCCAATTAAATGCATGGATGATTTTCACCCATCGCGGCTAATGTCGATCCTAACACTATAAGAACGAACGCGGGCTCTGATGCAAATGTACATACCACGATACAATGAGAGAACGAATTCTTTCAAGCACGCGACATGCCATGAAATGCCTTTTCCAGGAAAGCTATTTCAACGTACATACATGTATCGAAGAACGTACATGACATGCAATTAAAAATGCAGCAGCCATCCGAAAATTTAAACTATAAAGTTCAAAGCCATAGGCCGACCAGCCACTTACCTGCCAACCCTTATCACAGTTACGGTAATAGGGATAGTTCTTGGTAATGTACGCGTAGATGCCACTCAAAGTCAGCTGTTTGTCAGAAGAACCTGAAATCGCCTGAACAATCAGCTGAGCGTAACTGTAGGGAGGTTTGACGGCAGAGACGGTCTCTTGCTTATCGCATTTCTTTTTTTCATAGTCTAAAACACGCAAAATGCACGTCTCGTTTCGATGGGTAAAAATTTACAAAACAGTTGTTTGTCGTATATTTTTTATCGGATGATATAATGATAATTGATTACCGCTGTTAGCTGAAAAACCAACAAGAGAATATCTTAGCATAGTAGTTTATTAACAAAATTTGATGTAAAACAACGCTAAGAAATGAGCGACGTACAAGGTGATGATGCATAAGTCGGCTATGGATTTGTTCACAGGTGAACTTATCAGGTGATTTAATGACTGTCAGTACGAACAATCATAGACTTTATATATAATTATTCGAACGCTTCCATCAAATTGACGCGTCATCGGTCATCATCATGGAATGAACAAAATAGCAATAACTGTTGGGTCAGTAGGTGCTTGAATGGATTACTAGGATGCCTGAACGTCGCTCATGAAGCAGTTAATCAAGCTTACTTGTACTCAACGAAAATGTCAATGAAGCTTAAAAAACTGTTATGTTATGTGCTTCTACTGCGACGTTAAGTGGTTCCTTGATAAACAACTTTATTTTGTCGCTGCGCCCATCGATCACAGTAATACTGCCGTTGTTAAATTCATAACCGTTTTCGAGAGCATTGGCAACGAAACCAAAATAGGCCGCCGTTACGGTACCTAATGACTTTCCTGTGTTAAGTTAATGCAGTTTTTAACGCTAGACACGTCTTGCAGATATAAACCTGATCACATTTATCACACACAATTTTACAGACAACGTTTCTAATGTCCAACCTGGGATAAGGATTAAGCCTCTTACAAAACAAGTTTCCTAAGATTTACGCCGCTTCAACCCAGTATCAAAAGAGGAAGCATTGTCTCTCTCTGCGGCGGTATCGAAACAAGCGGCCTCCTAGTTAACCCTTAAGATCGGGTTTTATCTTTATGAATAAATAAGCCTCGGATCGTGGCGTATTTGCAGATGTCCGAACACGCCTTTGTTCGGCAATACCTAGTGATGCGATTCTGCATCCATGCACTGCAGGTCCTCAAATACCATGGAACCGTGGCCTGTTTAAATGGTCCACTAGGCGACTAGAAACAATGGGACGGTGCTACTGCGCCTCTTCAAACCGGCATCAAAAGAGAAAGTGTCATTTCCTATGGTTTTGTATCTTATTTCGACTTCGCAGTGTTTTTTACTTCGCGGTGCTTGTCCCTTCTGGCGCTATCCGTTTTTCTTTGTATTTGGGAAAATGCTTGCAACGCAGGAAGTAAACAAAATGTCACAGCTTAGAAAGTTGCAAACATAAGCTAGCTGTTCAGGTTTTGCAGCTGAATATCAATCGTATATCGTACCATCTCGCGACCGACTGAAGCTGTTCATTTAGACGCTGCACACAACGTTAGTGTTGAATCTCTGTCGTTCACGTATGTTCGCTTCACCTTTTTAATTACTACGTGTATATCTGTTTTTACCTTTCCAGAAACAGAACTCGTCCGTGCTCTACGTCAACAACAAATTTAACTGAAGCGACAATGAACCAATCGCACAGGTTTCTTACTTCTGATGTTCATCTTGATTTGATGTGACTGTTTCCCGGATTTTCCTCTCTTTCTGTATCTCCAGTTCATTATATTTTGAACTATTCTAGTCGAATCAAACTGGATGATGCAGCTGTACCGGATGCCGTGGGTCACACACGTATTCGCATTTCAACCAGTCTGTTGAGGCACGCCAAATGTTCTCGCATCGCATGTCTCAATTTCCTTCCTGTTCCTCCAACGTAGCCATTCGCATGTTGCTGTCATCATAATCTGGTACAGCAGGGTCAAGTACAGAGTATGCGATTAATGACGTCTAATCCTTTGGCTAGTCAGAATGATTTAGGCCATGTCGGCGGCTGCGGTATTCCCGGTAGCTATTCTTATACGTGCAGTACCGTGGGTTCTTTTGGTAGCATTTATTTTTTGTATACGATGCTGTCTAGCTATGTTAATTTCCAAAGAGCTGTATAACGACTTTACGCGATCCCAGTTCCCGAATCGTTTGACTCTTTCATTTAAAATACGATGACCTCTAAGACTAAGGGGTATGTAAGTCAAGTGTCAAGTGCTTTATCTTCGAACTTCTGTAAAAGCACAGTTCATCGTTTCAGTTTCCACTGAATTTAGCCAAGGTACCACATTCAAGCTGAGATCAGTCTTTCGCTTGCTCTGGTTGCGATATTGCTTTCCCGAGGATGGAGACCTCATCAACAGAGGTTGCTCAATCAACAGAGCATCGGAGGCACAGTCGAAAGATTACGATTAGAAAATTCAAAATCTAGTCAGGGTCACACGGTTCATCCTTCGAAGGTGGATAAACGACAAACGACAGACCGCGCTGCAACGGCAACAGGAGACGAACGTGACACTTGAAGCAGAGCTCCAGACACTGTCTTCAAAATAAAGCACTCCTAGGTGATGAACTAAATACGGAGATCAACGCAGCACTATACGGCTTATGAAAGAAGAATACCACAAATGGTTGTACCCAATCCGAGTCGTGTAAGTGTAAGAGAGACCGACATGGCAGTGGTTAGAAACGTTCATTTGGTTGCATGAAGACAGACAATTGTAGGATCTTGTTTACCGTTTCTACGACTCTGTGAGAAGACATTTCGAGCAACATCGAACTTTACCATACGGAACAAGTGCAAAGTACAGGATCGAAACGTCGGGTGGAAATTCTACCATCGCAATAGGCACATTATATGCATGTAATGCAGTTTCTTTTCTCGCAAACGAAAGATTTTACCCTTACACTTTCAACTAAAGAAATATCATTTCTTGATGACTCACACAAAAACTTGCTTTGCACTTGGACACTCACCAGCGATCGAACTTGGAAGTGCCACGTGAGAACTATGGCAATTTTTGATTTCTTCGACAGGCGACGGTTTCAAAGAGGCAGCTGACCCTGCGTCAGTCGAGCAGGTATTGTCGCAAAGGATAACGGACGGCTGTTCGGAGGTGGCATTTTGGCAGTCGACAGCACGGTCCCTAAAAGAAGATGTTCATCAGTAAACCCAAACAACTGACAAAGCTGAAAAAAGAAGCAAACAATATTCGTTCGGCGGAGTACCTGTATTCGATCTGACCAGTAACGGTTACAGAAGAAGACGAAGAAGCGGGTGACTCAAGGCAGACATCGATCGGTTGAAACAACTGCGGTGGATTGATTTGGTCGATCTCCTGGCATGCCTGTACAAGATTGCGGAACAGCAGTCGGATATTCGTACTTGGGAACCTCAGAACACATCTAAACAGTTCGTTCAGTTAATCATTCAGTCAGTAGGTTTCGAAAACGGCTTATTATATCAGGTAACAGACGTTTAATTAACCAATTAATTAATTAATCTATTCATATAAACAATCAGTTCATGTCAAAACTGAAATTGCACACACTGAGCGGAACGTTTATGTCATAATAAACCGGATCATAGGCTTAAAATATACAGCTGACTTTGAAAAAATGCAACAGTAAATGACGGACGCATCAAACGGGAAAGTGTTGAAACACGTCGACGACTGCTCCTAACCATCTAATCATTACTTATATTCGAATTTAGTTTAAGTTTGTTTTAAAAGTAATAATGTTCATTAAACTCAGCCGTTGCCGGTCCCAAGCTCTATTGAGAAAGGAGAGGGGTTGAAGACCGCGGAGAAATCTCCGTAAAATTGAGCTACATGCTACTCATGGTATTAATGCCATCGAAAATTGTACGAAAATTACAGCACGTCAGAAACTGGCGGCGTAACTTTTAGAAATTTGCACATTCATGTCGTTAGGTGACATCTATCGTAGACTCTTGCCTCTTGATTCCTTCCCATGTCGTAGTTTTCACACATAAATCGCAGTAACTAAAAAAGCGATCGGCATCTACTTTCTCTAGACGTCATTCAGTTCAATATGTGTCCATCCGTGCTATTCTGGCTTTTGGTCTTGAAGGTATAACCACCAACGTACGAATCAGTCAATCATCTTTCACAATTAAGTGAAACAGCCATAGATATGATTAAAATTATTTTTTCGCAAAATATATGCAGCAGACAGCGATCAACAAAACGGGGTTTCGTCCACACCCGGCAACCTGCCGCTTCGGTCAAAGTTCAACGGGTGACTGAAATTCGGGTTCAGAAATCTTTCGTGACTCAGAAGCACTGCAGATGGAAAAAAATGACTGCGAAGAGAGTAAGCGAAACTAGGTATCGTTTTGTGGTTATTTTGTCTCGTAACAAGTGACATTTTCCACCGCATCTGCTACCGAACATCAGCGATAAAGTATGTGGGTAAAATTTACCTCAGCAAATTGCACTGTCATTTGACCAGAGCAATGTTTAAACTGTAAGCATTGAAGAAGAAAAAATTCTCTTCATCCGTAACCGTGTTCAAGTTTAGCTTTGTCGGTTTGGTACAGAGGAAAGAGCGATTCTGTTTCAATGATTAGCTGCTTCCTATAACTGACTCAAGGTCAACAACATGGCTCATACGTGAACACATCGGTACACGGAATCACGCACGGATGACAGGAAAACGGAAATGTCATCAGGTTCGGCATCGATTTCACGCGTTGCGCAGCGTACGCTTTATCGTGGTTTTGATCATGCCGCCATGCAAGCCGTAAACTTTACATTAGTCGTTAGGCAAATTATTTGTCACACCTGTAATATTGAAACCTATTGTTCCCTTCCACCACATAAACCAGAAATCAGTTGTTTTTCTTCTGACTTGATCCCTCTGTCAACGATTACGGAATTGGTGGGTTATTATAATCATTATTATTTACTAAGATCACCAAGGTTGAAAGAAAATCACGTTCATAGACACAGACACAACAGAAGATTCGAAACTACGAATAAGCCGTAAAGTCCATGTTCAGTCGCAGAGTGACAAACTGACGATGTGGGTAATGATGCCTCGTTGAAGGTGTCCTTCACTTGATCGTGGCTAAAAAATACCGACGTCGACCAATTAAAGCGTACATAAAAATGATCATTTCTATTCTTGCGTCGCGACCTAAATCAAAACGATAACCTCCGTGAGGTAGCAGTCAAAAAAACACTTAAACACAGAATTCCAATTACCACTGAACCCGAAACTCTACCACTGACAAGTATAAAATTTAAAAAAAACAATCAATCCGAGGACGACTGAAACATTCAACCATCCGGTTCACCAATTCCATTAAGAAATGGAAAAATTCCGATCATTGGGATATCGCTTACCCTTAAATTTTCATGACTTTCATGAGGCCATTTTGTGACTGCCTTCTTGTAATAAAATTTATATATAATTTATGTTAATGCTTATTTCGGTGCGATCAACCAGAAGTGGTTTATTTTAAAGTCAGAGTCTACATGAATATGGCAAACACAGCATGCAATCTCGCATCTCTTTCCTACATAGTCAAAGTGATATAAAAAGGCACGAATTTGTGACGTGAAGTCTGATTCCTCAGTTCTATCCACTGTGCAACCTCTGTTTGCTCACTAACGCAGCCTAGAGTAAGTTTACCTTGATTACGAACTTGCTTGCATCAACACTGCAGTGAGTAGGTGCAGAACTTTAATACAGTCCCAGTTTTTGATATCGAAAGCTGAATAAAAGGCTAGTGCCAAAAGAGGTAAGCTAAACGGCGACAAGACGATATAAAGGAGGTAGAGGTTAAATATTTCAAGAAGGCGAAAGATCGATAAAACATATGAGTACCTCATCGTCATGACCCACAAGAACGGAACAGCTAGTATAAGGTTACAGTTACAAGAAAACGTGGGTAAATTCGAAATCCAAAAAGCGTCTGCTGACAATGCGGTGATGCAATACGATCGAAGTTACTCCCCGCACGTGTAGAAGCTTTTAATACACTCAAATGAGAACATCAGTGCATGAAGATTAACTGACTATACTTAAATGACATTCCCCTGATCAAAACGTTTCTACAGGAACTATGAACAAGAATCGAAGAGATGAACGACGATAGTTCCAAACAAAAAATAAATAAGTATAGTTTTGTATACACAACACGTAGCAGTTGCACAGTGCTTCATGAACTGTGAGACAGTTACGAAGAAGTCACGTTTCAGACAAAGTTCTAAACACCGAACTAAATGCTATAGTATCCATTCAACTTCAGCAACAAATAAGGCCAGTGAGTCGGTTAAAACCGCGTCTTCCGTACCACAGAGTTGCAGACAGACAAACCTTTATTATGAAATATCGATAACTCCCCCCCCCCAACACAGGACTCACCATTTCAACGTAGATCGAAAGTCATGTCATTTAAATTACGTTCATTGAACCGCACAAGAAGCTGGCTGTTTAAATTACTCAAAACTCAAACTTGAAGACATACAAAACTGCGTCCATCTCCGGAACGAAAAACCACTTCTAGAAATCAACCGGAGTAAAAAACACCGAAGACGCGGGTATTCGGAAAACTACGTTTGCGGATGAAATAAAAAATGTCAATCACCGTGTCCATTCAGTGCTGACGTAAGCATGACAGACACCTGAACCAGAAGCGTTCAAGATGTGTTAGAAACTACAGACTAAGCAAG